GTCCTACAGGAAGCACGGACCAGGGCAGCAGACGCTATTAAAAAAGCCAATATTATCGCTAAGCGCAACGCCGACCGCCACCGCAGACCCGTCACTTACCAACCCGACGACTTTGTTCTACTCGACACCCAAAACCTCCGCCTGCCCATAACTCCAAAACTTCGCCCTCGTTATTGCGGGCCATTTCGCATCAGCCACATGATCACACCAGTCACCGCCCACCTCCTCCTCCCCGCTGACTGGTACGTCAGCCCCTCCTTCCACGTCAGCCTACTTCGCCCCTACATCCCATCCACCAGCTAACTGGCCCGACATCGCCCAGCCAGCATGACACGACCACCGACCGAGCCAGTCATCACGCCCGAAAAGATTTTGAGCCACAGAGTCCGTGACCCACGAGGAGCCCGACGGGTCGAATTTTTAATACGCTGGAGCGACCGCACGCCCACCGAGGACAACTGGGTTCCCCTGGATAAAATCGAAAACCACCCCATCGTCAACGAATATTTGCGCAGCAGAAATTTCCGGGATATACACGCGCTCTCGTAAGGGAGGTCTCCTTGAGGGGGGGGGGGGGGGGGTAGTGTAAGGAAATTTCCTTTTCCTACGTGTCCCTGCTCAGCGCGTACAAGACTGACAGCACCCCACACTATCCCGTTACCACTCGCGACATTCGCCTCGACAAACATTCCCGCCACTGTCCACGATGCGACCCAACCTCACGGTTCGGCTGGTAACCCGCGCTCCGGACCTCCGCCTCGACGGTTCCCCAAACCTCGGCACTAGGCCCATCGCGCACCCCATTTTCCCGCGTTGCCATTACCACCGTAGTTTCGCTATATATTCTTCGCTCATTCCTTCGCTCATTGTATTCTTGTCTCGATAGTGCAATCCTCGCTCGCTCATTCAATTGCACTCGTAACAGGTGCCCAACACCTTTGCCTGGCAAATTGCTTTGACAATTTTCCCGACCCCAGTTTTGATTCGCACGGACCATTCATCATCGAATAGTGTTCAGCAAAATAGTTGGGTTCTGCCTGTGCTGGTTGCAAAGTTTCAAGCCCGAGTGTACCTGACGCGTTCAACAAAAGAGTGTACCGTAGCTGAACTTAGATAAATCACGCGTTCGATGTCAGTGGTGATCTGCAAACAATGTGAACCTCGGAATAGTCGCCAATCCAGCTGTAGTTGTCGACCTGCGCCAACAAGGATATCTGCAGTGGCGGCGGATCGTCGGTCAACAGCTGGATCTCTTAACTTTACTCAATTGGAAAAAGCGGCATGAGTTTGTCGTTCAGCACGTGGACGAGGAGGTTCGACTCAGTCGGTGTTCCGAGGATTTATTTACACCGACCACGCCCTCAAAATCCTAGTCCCCGTCGAATTCTGCTTCAGCCACATGCGGCGTTCGTTTGGACAGTTCACCCATTTGACTGGCAGAAGTGCAAATTCCTGCGTGGCAGAGCAGGATATGCGTCTCACGCGTCCCAATCTCAACTAAACATGCTCCCTCACGCGCGGTACAAGTTGCATATCTCGCGGAATCGAGATAGATTCAAGAATCACGAGCACCCCCAGCTGCAGGAGGTAGCTCCCATCCTTACAAGAGGTCCCTGTAACTGTAAGCACTTCGCTTGCAAAGGCAGTGTCCTCAAACCTGCAGACTCCTAACGCATATCATGATTACGATGACGAGCATATTTGGGTTTTTTCGCCACGTGTCGTCCAACAACGCACGCTTGCATGAGCACAAAGTGCAGCAAGAAGATTGCCTCAACTTGTTACTCAAGCACAAAACATCTAGGAGGTTCCGAACCTCGCGGCAAAGGCGGCGATTGCGTGCACTCCCGCTCGTCCGAAAAGTCCCTCTTCCGTCATCCGAGGATGATCTTAGGACAGAAATTGTCGTGAGACTCAGAGTGGTCCCTATAGAGTCCGATGGACTGCAGTGGTACGCAGAATGGTTTGGATGGTTAATATTTTCTTGTGTTCTACTGGATTCAAGGAAAGGCGTTGGATAAATGAGGGATTATTCCACACCATGATGGTGTACCACCGCCGTCACTGTGTCTTACGGTGGTGAGTTTTTGAACCACTGAAGATGGTGATGGGGTTTAGTATAAATGAGCAGCAGAAACATTGGAGATAGCTGAAGGGATCTCATGGACGAGTTAAGGGCGAAGGAGCAGGCTCGCCTGGCACAAGAGATGCTTGAGAGGCTTCAAGCCGATTCTCAGCAACCGCAGCTGCTGGAATTGGCCGAGGATGCACAGCAGCCGCAAGAGCCAGACCAGGTCCAGCAGCAGCAACCACAGCAACAGCAACAGCAACAGCAAGAGCAAGAGCCACAACAGGACGAGAGGCAGTTGGAGCTGGAACAGCAGCAGCAGCAGCAGCCGCAGCAGCGGCAGGAGGATCATCAGCAGCAGCAAGAAGACCATCAGAACGGTGGGAGCGGATACAAGAAGAGGCGTAGACGACGTGGGCAGATGAAGGTGCTTCCGAGCGAAGCAGAGGTGAAGGAAGCAGCAAAAGATTGGCATGATGTTTTCAGCCCAGCAGCAGCAGCAGCAGCAGCAGCAGCAGGTGCAGCGACCTCCAGAGGGTTGCTGGCCTTGGCTCCTTTCGGAGGAGGCCTGCTAGGAGGATCTGATCACGATGCTGCTGGTGTAGGCAGCAGCACACGGGGTTTTGAGCCGTTTTCAGCCCAGAGAGCACACTCACATGCACAATTTCACCCCCCAGTATCAGATTTCCTGTCTCGGATTCCCTCGGGTTCTCTCCTACCTTCTCGGTCCGCTCAGAGTGTCGCTACTCAGAGCGCGTCCGCGCAGAGTGCGTCCTTTAGGACAGCATCTGCATCATCTGGATCAAGTTTGCATGGTTCCAAAAACCCAGTAACGAATAATCCTGCTTTGGGAAACCCCAATTCCCCGTCAAGAAGACACAGGAATGTTACTAACCGCTCACCCATGTCAGGCAGAGGTCAAAGTAGCGAAGCACGAGGAAGAGATTCACCTAGCAGTAGGGGTCACGAGAGGGCGAATCAGACTGGAGGCGCCGATTCAGGGACTCCCCCTGACAGAGGCTTTGTTCCCGCGATAGAACGGGGGGTGGAGTGTCGTTTCTGCAAGCGGGAGTTTCAGGATCCGCGAGCACTGGGAGGCCACATGAAGCTGCACAGGCGTGGTATGCTCATCTTTCGCCCTTTTTTTCCAACCTGCCTTTTGAGTTAAAATCCGGGGGCCAAGAAGTTCAACCTTAGGAAGGTTGGTTGGGGCGAGCAATGCAATTGGCCAAGATTTTGGGTGTCAGGGCCAAACTCAACCGAAGTCAACCTTAGGAAGGTTGAACCAATTTAGGCCTTCTTGGCCCTCCGGTTTTAAAGCGAACGCTACATGAACCTGCCCAGGCATGGTATGATCACCTCCTTTCCCCTTTTCCGAGGTGTCTTTTCAAACCCAGCAAAAGGCTACATGAACCTGGACAGGCGTGGTATGCTCATCTTTTGCCCCCCATCTTTTGAGGTGACTTTTGAGGCGAAGGGTCACGTGAATCACAGTCGTGTTTTGCACGAGTCCTTTTCCTTCCTTTTGAGGAGACTAAACAAAAGGTCACATGAGCCTGCAGACGTGGTATGAGCGTCTCCCCTCCCCTTCCTTTCCAAGATTCAGTTACTATGAGGCGTTTAAAAAAAGCCATGTGAACCTGTGCAGGCGTCGTGAGCTTTTGACATGGATGGATCATACCTACCTTGGCTCTGGATCTGTATCAAGCAACAAGAAAATTTCTTTATGGGTTTTAGAAGTGTGTCAAATGTTGCGGGTACACACAGAAAGAGATTAACACCAGGTTGTTTCTATCTCTCATTCCTTGCATGTTGCCACGTGCGTGCAGAAATTGACTTTGAGCGGTTCATGGATAGCCAGCAGGAGCTGGAGCAGCGGTGGCAGCAGCGAGCCCAGGCGGAGGACCAGGCTGTAGCAGAACGACAGAGGCAATCTCTAGCCGACCAGGCTGTAGCAGAACGGCAGAGGCAATCTCTAGCCGACCAGGCTGTAGCAGAACGGCAGAGACAGACTCTAGCTGATCAGGCTGTAGCAGATCGGCAGAGTCAATATTCAGCCGGCCAGCAGACTCAGCTTGCACTTGAGAGGCTTTTGGCTCAGGCTGCAGCAGCGGCACTAGTGCGCGCGGAAACAGATTCACATACGCGAGGTGCTGCAGGAACTGCAGGGCAGGAAGGCGCGGGGACAGCAGAAACTGGAGGGGTTGCTGAACAGCAAGGTACTTCTGGGAACTCTTACTGGCAGTATGGAGGGTTGCAAGGGGGGAGTTTGGGGTTGCAAGAGCAGGCAATGCTCACAGATAGCTTGCGAAGACAGCTGCCGGATCAGTTGCGGTTACAGTCGAATTCTGGTGCTCATTTTGCCATTCCTAGTTCGTCTGACGGCCCTGCACATGGATTAGCTCTAGGTTCAGGAATGGGCTCGCTCATACCAACTTCTCTTGAGAGTTTAAGCATTCAACAGTTGGCGCTGTTGCTGCAGCTTTCACAACAACAGAGGGATCTGGTCTTGCTTCAGCCGTCGCAGCTGCAGCAGCAGCAGCAGCAACAACTGCAGCTGCAGCAGCAGCAGCAGCAGCAGCAGCAGCAGCAATGGCGACAGCAGCAGCAAGAGCAAGAGCAACAGCAACAGCAGCAGCCAAAGCAACAGCAACAGCCGCAGCAGCAGTATCAGCATCAGCAACGGCACCAGCAACAGTCGGAACAACAGCAGCTGCAGCAGCAGCAACAGCAGCAGCCGCAGCAGCAGCTTCAGCAACAGCAACAGCCGCAACAGCAGCAGCAGCAGCAGCAGCAGCAACATCAACAGCAACAGCAGCAGCATCAGCAACAGCCGTTAGTTTCATTGCCATGGCACCATCCAATACCTCTCTCACAGCAGCATCCCTCCTTCCAACCACAGCCATGGACCCTATCCCAACATCAACTGCAAATGCTGCCACAGATCCAGCCAGCAATGCTGCCACCTCCTCACCCCCCCACTGCCTTTTCCATTTTGCGGCAGCATCAGCAGCAGCTAGGCTCCCTTCTCCGTCGACCGTCCTTGCCCGCCGCCGTTCGTCCTAATGCCACTCGGTCATCCCTCACTCGTTTCGCCTCCCTTCCGCCACGTTTGCCACTCTCTCTGCCCCCTCTACCTCCCATCGACATGTTGCCTATTCTTCCTCCAAACCCGTCAGCACCAATTTTCCCCTCGTCCCAGCTTGTGGGAAGCACGAATCTCCCTCCTCCCATGGCAAGTGGCACGCCTGTAGTGGGCTCGACTGGAGAAGAATCGCTGGGGTGCATTCCTGCTGTAACTCGTGCTCTGCTGGCGGGAGGAGGGGCGTTAGGGGAAACATTGGACGGGGCCCTGCTGGCAGCATTGCTGCCAGAGGTTCTGGCGGTTGCAATTGGAGGAGCGTTAGTAGCAACGGCAGGAGAAGCAGCTACAGCCGCTGTGGCTTCAGCAGCAGAAGATGGAGCAAGAGCGAGATCAGCAGCAATGGTAGAAGCAGCAGTAGAAGGAGGAGGGGCAGCAGCACGTGCACAGAGAGCCGTAGCACCTGTGCAAGTGGAACCAGTACAAGTGGCATTAGGAGTAGGAGGTGATGGTAGAGGGACAGCATCAGGTGTGGGATCAAGAGGGGGGGAAAGGGGAGGAGAAAAGGGAGTAGGAGCAGGAGCAGGAGCAAGGGGAACAAGTGGTCGGGGAGTAGGGGTGGGAGGTGGAGCAACTCCGGAAGTTTTAGATTCTTTGCCGTTAGCAACAGATGTTGATGCAGCAGCAGCAGCAGCAGCAGCAGCAGCAGAATCGTTAGAGGCCAGCTTCAACATCCCATCGGCATCCACAGCTGCGGCACCAAGAGCCTCTGCACTGCAGCCAGTAGTCAGCTTACCAGCTCTCTCTGCCCCACCTGCTGCCACAGCTACAGGAGAACCAGCAGGGGAAGAAGCATTAAGTGAGCAGGAGGAAATGAGGGAGCCAGCACCAAGAGACCAAGAATCAAGGGAACAAGCACTGAGGGACCAGGCACTAAGCCAAGGCATGCAGTCTCTCTCCGCTTGTGGGAGCAGACTCTCTCAACGTAGCGCTTCTCAGAATGTAGCCGCTAGGGAGTCGATTGCACAACCAGCCACACGTTCAGGGCTCAGCAGCAGCAATCATGGAAGCGAGAGGGATTACAACAGCAGCAGCCACAGCAGCAGAAGCTACAGCAGCGGTAGTTACAGAAGTGGGGTTACCACTGCGGCGAGCGGCAGTGACAGGCAGCCCAGCAAGGCCAGCACATGCACCAGCAGAATGAGCCAAGGGCAAAGCGTTCCTGCTACTGTCTCCTCCTCTGTGGCTGCCCGGCCCTCCCCGTTTCTACCCGTGGTAAGGCCTGTTGGCGGTGTGGGAGAGGTGAATTCTCTGGGGGATGCAGCAGGGGTAGGATCAGGTGTGAGGGCAGCTGGGTTGGTGCCGCTGATGGGTCAGAACTATGGCCTGGCATTGCAAGGTGCGGCGTTGCCTGCTCCAGCATCAGGTTCTCGACCAGTAGCAACAACAGCACCAGTAGAAGCAGCAGCAGAAGCAGAAGCGGCTGCAGCAGCAGCAGCAGCAGCAGCAGCAGCGTTGGCAGCATCAGAAGCATCTGCGTCACTACACACTCCTCTCTGGCCATTTCAAACAGGTCCTCTACAGGAAACTGCACGTTCTGCTGCAATGGCTGAAAGAATCACCCCTACAGTGGGTTCTCAAATTGATCCGTCTGCTATGGCAACAATCCTTGCTGACCCAGCACTAGCAAGCTTGCTGCAATCCCAGTCACCGAGCTACACTAACCTGTCCAATCAATTATCCAGTCACCTCTGGCCCACGGAACCCATTTTCCCCAACGTTTTGCCTCAGCGGCCCGACCCCAACCCTCCCCACACATCGGCAGACCTCCGGGAAGGGATAAGGAATCCAGAAGATCTGGTGACAGGGCTCCTGTCTGCCGATCCTCTAGAAAGAGGGGTTGGGATGGGAGTGGTTCTTGATAATGCTGCAGATCCACAAATTATGGCGTCTATACCGTTAGCACCCCTGGGTTCTCGTGAGGCCGATGCTGGTGTTGAAGGTTTGACAAGGGGTGCTGTGGGGTTAGATAACATTGAGGCTAGAATTAGGTGGTTAGAACAGCAGCTTAGGGAAGGTGGAGGAGATTACCATTCAGAGAATCCTGGAAATGATTCAGGAAACAGGTAGCACTTCAAATTAAATCCACTTCATTTGTTAATTAAATACAAAGGAGTAGCAACATTATTTAGCGAGGAATGTGATGAGCAAAAGTACCGGCGCAATGAACGAAGCGTTTTGTATTTGAACGCTTTTAGCAGGTCAGATATCATATTGTGCTGTCTTTCACAGCAGGTTGATTACTTAAAGCGACGGTGCACATTTGCCACCCAAAACCCAGAACCCTGGCGAACTGTTACTGCGGATGGAAAGTGTCCGCACGAAATCCTGGTTTTCGCCAGCCAGCACTTTCGCGCTGGCAAGCCTGGTTCAAAAAAAAAACTTCTGAACCCAACACTGCCAAAAGTTGCCCGTCGCTTTAAAGAATCTGCGCTCCCATCTCATAGTCCAAATCTCATGAACCGTTGCTCGCCAGATCGCCATGTGTGTGCAATAGTCCTGTGCTCTACCACTAACGTTATTTCGTTTGCGAGCTCTCTGAGGGCTTTCTCATAATCGTTTATGTATCTTTGTTAATGATAATGCGACAAAGATTCGTTTAGGTTCATAGCTCGGAATTCCCAAGAGCCATGGGGAGTCAGCAGGATCTGCCGTCGTCGCCGCGCGATGAAAGGAAGCTGCACGTTGTTTTTTGCCATCCGGATTTGGGGATAGGTGAGTCGCGTCGCGGGTGCTCGACCGCCGAACGTATCAAGTGGTTACGAAGAAAAAATCCATGATGGGAAGAGGTGAAGTCAATGTTCTGATTGCATACTCTTCTGATTGTAGCCTTGAAGAAGATTCGGGTTCCGCAGCCGTTGCCGAACGGATATGACGAAGCAGTGCTAGTTAGAATCCCAACGTGTCGCTGCAACGTCGCAAGACTCGTATTCAATTTCCTGTATTTCCTCGTTCTGTGAGCCATTATGCACTTCTAGGACTCCTATGTTATTCCCGCTCTTTCCGTCCGTCGTCCTCCCCTTTGCCGTGGTTTCATCTTTCCGGCTATTTCCTACTGCTTCTCTTTTCGTCCTGATCATCATTCCATCCATGCATCCATGCATCCATGCATCCATGCATGCATGCATGCGTGCAGGCGGGGCGGAGAGGCTGATAGTAAATGCAGCAGCGGAGCTGACGTCAAGAGGCCACTCCATCCGCGTACCCATGCATCCATCCCATCCATTCCACCCATCCCTTCGATCCCCTCCATTCCATGCATGCACACAGGAGGAGCGGAGAGGCTGATAGTGGATGCAGCAGCGGAGCTGGCGTCAAGAGGCCACAGCGTGCGGGTCTTCACCGCCCATCACGATCCAGCCAGATGCTTCCCGGAGACCATCGATGGTATTATATGCTGTTAGATGTCCTAAAATGATCGATTTTAAGTTGTGAGGTCACCCCTTCACAGCCCATCATGACCCCCACAGATGCTTCCTGGTGACTATATGCTGTCTTAAAGCCCATCATGACCCATTGCTGGCGTCAAGAGGCCACATTGTGCGTGACTTCACATCCCGTCATGACCCCCACAGATGTTTCCCCGAGACCATTGATGGTACGATGATTCGCGGTGACTATTCATGGTACTATATGCTGCTGCATTCCTGGAAGGATGGATTTGTAGTTTCTCAGTAGAGACTGTTGTAACCTTGGTGCATTGACATTTGAAAGCATTGCAACAAAGTTGTAAAGCTGATCTTCCAAGCCGTTGTGACTCAATTTTCGCCCTTGGGGCTTTCAGTTACTAACGCATCACCATGTTTTTTATCCCCACCGCCTACACTCCCCTCTCCATCAGGCACCTTCCCTGTGCACGTGCATGGAAGCTTCCTCCCCCGCCACATTGCCGGCCGATTTCACGCAGTCTGCGCCTACCTCAGGTGCTGCCATCAGTTTTTTCTCAGCTAGGGTGTGTATTTGCTCGCAATGAGTGATGACGAAATGCAGTCTAACACGCAGTCTGCACCTACCTCAGGTGCCTCTGGGCGGCCCTCTGCATCGTCGTCTCGGTTTGGCTCCGGTGGATCCCAGCCGTTGATGGGATCATCACAGATCAAGTCTCAGCCGTCCATCCCATCCTCAGATTGCTGCCTGCCAAGGTGGGTTCATTACCCTCCCCTTCCCCTTCCCCTTTCCCTTTCCCCTTCCCTATTTCCTTTCCCATCTCCTCCCCCCTTCCACTTCTCCTTTTCCTTCCTTCTCCCCGTCCCCTTCCCTTCCCTCCGTTTCCTGTCTCACCTACGCTCTGCTCTCCTGTCTATCCGATGCTGAGCAGCCCAGCCCCGCGTGTCAACCCTATCCTCTCTCTCACCACGTGTCACATGCCTCTGCGCAACCAACTTCTAAGGCGCATCAAAGTAGAACCGAAAAAGATATATCTTGGCACTTGTTTCATGTTCCTGTGTAACGTTTCCTATCGCAGCACGTGCTTTCCCCATCCCTACCCCCCCATAACAGATCCTCTTCTACTGTCACTTCCTGGACCTGCTGCTGACCCAGCGAGACTATGCTTGTGTTATTTGGGAGAATTTATAAAAACTAACACAAGTGTCCCCCGTGCCTGACCCCCCATAACAGATCCTCTTCTACTGTCACTTCCCAGACCTGCTGCTGGCCCAGCGAGGCTCGTGGCTGCGCTCGCTGTACCGAGCTCCTATTGACTGGGTGGAGCAGGTCACCACTGGTGCGTGCATGCAGGATGGTGTTGACTTGACATGACATGACATGACATGACATGACGTGACTTGACATGACATGACATGACATGACATGACTTGACTTGACATGACATGACATGACATGACATGACTTGACTTGACATGACATGACATGACATGACATGACATGACATGACATGACTTGACTTGACATGACTTGACATGACATTTCATGTGTGTGCATGCTCATGTTCATCCCTGAACGTCCATGATGCCATTGATCACCCAGTGTGCGCTCGCTCTACCGAGCTCCCATTGACTGGGTGGAACAGGTCACCACTGGTGCGTGTTGTTGGCATGTGTACTGGCATGTGTGTATGCTGGCAAGTGCATGATAGTGTGGATCACGCACTCTGCGCTCGCTCTACCGAGCTCACTGGGTGGAACAAGTCACCTTCTGTCCATCTTCTCACCACCTCCTCCTCTCCATCTTTTTCCCATCGCCTCTCCATCCTTTCTGTATCCTCACAGGCATGGCGGACACCATAGTGGTCAACAGTCACTTCACTGCAGCCACATTCGCCTCCACCTTCCCCTCGCTAGCATCACACGGAATTCGCCCCGCTGTGCTCTACCCAGCTGTAGCACTTGATTCCCCACCAGCTTCTTCCTCTGCCACTGCCAGCACTGCTAGCAGGAATATGTGTGCTCCCCCAGGCCCTTCTGTTGACGAAGCAGAGAAACTTGGGATTGATATTAACAGGTGATTTTTGGAGGGCAATTGAGACGGATTGAGCTGAGAGGGCTGGATGGAATGGTGTGCACATTATCTCCCATGATGAATTTGCTTCCGTTATATATATATATATATATATATCAATTTCTTCCCTTCCTTCCGGCCTCTCAAACCTTCAGACCTTCAGCACCACTGCCACCTCTGCTCTGTTATGACCTCTCTCCCATCACTGAGTTCCCCCCAACTCTCCCCCCCCCCCACCTTCCCACCCCCAGTCCCTACTTCCTGTCTATCAACCGCTACGAGCGCAAGAAATAGGTCCCTGCCTACAGCCCCTGACCTGGACTCACACGTCTTCGCCCTCTACCCCCCTCCCCCTCCCTCTCCTCCCCCTCCCCCAGCCCCTTCTTCCTGTCCATCAACCGGTACGAGCGCAAGAAAGAGATCGCCACTGCCATCTCTGCTCTGGGGCTGCTCACCCGCTCGTCAGTGCACACAGACGCTTCCGACAGCCAGGAAAAAGGCAGCCAGGATGGCGCAGCTGCTTCGGCAAAGAGCCAGCGGCCACGACTTGTCGTTGCAGGTGAGTTGGTGATGGTGCTGAGGAAGGCGAGGAGAAATGTGTCGTGTGCATCGAAGGTTGTGACGCATGAAGCCACCTCTTACAACAGAACTCAACTGTCCCACTGTCTCTCAACCAGACGTTTTCCACACCCTAAACCCTTGGCTTCCATTCCCTTGTTTCTTCGACTCACCACCTTATCACTTCTTCCCTTCCCTTCATCACCGATGAATCAGGTGGGTGTGACGCGCGCGTGCGGGAGAATGTGGAGTATCTGCAGGAGCTGAAACAACTAGCTGTTATGGAAGGGGTGGCATCCGACGTCCTTTTCCTCACCTCCATCAACGACTTGCTCAAGGCTCAGCTACTGGCCTGCTGCACTGCTGTAGTCTACACCCCTCCAGTTAGTATTCCTCATACGCCCAACACATGGAGATTCCGCACATCATCTTTCATATTTGTTTGCTTGTTTGGTTTGCCATAGACTGAGCCTGGTTGCCCTTTTGCTCTCTGCCTTATGTGTGTGCAGAACGAGCATTTTGGCATCGTGCCGTTGGAGGCAATGGCAGCAAGCAAGCCAGTAGTGGCATGCAACAGTGGGGGGCCCACAGAGAGCATACTTGATGGCGCTACAGGCTTCCTCTGCTCTCCAAATCCCACATCGTTTGCCGCTGCGCTTACTCTACTCTGGGCTGATCTTTCTCGGGCAGCTTCCATGGGTCAGGTTGCCCGAGCACATGTGGAGGAACGGTTTTCTAGGAAAGTTTTTGGCGACCGGTTGCAAGAGATTCTTTGGAACATGTGCTTGTAAGGACGTGTTCCTACGGCCCCTTATCAGGCAACCTCTTAGGTATCAGACTCACTCTGCATCACACTGAAATTCACGTAAACCCAAGACTCTTTGCGCATTCTATCAGGCATTCTGATAAGGAGTTGCCTGGTAGGGGGCTGTAGGATCGGAACACACCCTAACTTGTTACGGAAATGGCCTGATGGCATGGATGGCAAACAAGATGGCTTTGGGAACTCCTACCCAACACAATGCGGCTGATATGTTAAGGTCCAGTCATCCCCCCATGTTGTGCATTCCACAACCTCGTAACACCCATAACCATAAGATGGGAAAATACCTGCCTTAATTTCCCCCCTCCCACCCGTGCACAGCCTGGAACATACCCTGGGCCAGCGCATCCCTCTCCGCCACGGCAGCAGGGGACTCCTCATCGGCTCTCTTGGCGGGCACAAAGTCATCAAATGCTTCATACGCCCAGTCAGGGTCAAACGCCTCTCCCTTCTGCTCCAAAAAGTTGTGCAGCGCACAGCACGCCCCCACCAACCGCGGCAGCTCATGCAGCTTCCCCTCAGCCCGCCTCAGCAGGATCCGCCACCGTCCCTTCAGCCGGCCAATAGCGTCCTTCCCCACCGCAGTCCCCTTCTCTATGCACTCATTGAACGTCGTCTGGTACCACGTGGCGCTCTCTGATTGGGTGTAGGGAACCAGCAGCCAATCCAGAAGCGGGTACGACCATAACCCGATCACCTTCGCTCCCTTGAGCTCTCCAGCTTGTCCTTTCTGGTGGAGGGTTGACTGCTGCAACACCTGCTCGTCAGAAAGCGCGCCGGGCAGCCCGATGCAAAGATCGATAAACTGCCCGTTAGCATCGACGACCGCTTGCGTGGAAAGGGAGTAAGATTCCCGAGCAAGACGCTCAGTGAGCTGCCTGTTGTGGTATTTTACCATGTTGGACCGCGGCGTGTTGATACACAGGTGTGTTGTGTAGAGAGTCCCAATCAGCTGCCCGTTCCCCAGCTGCTGTACCACAGAAGAAGCACCATCCACCCCGCACAGCTTCAGGAACTTGGAAGAAATTTCAGCTGCCCGGGTGCTGCCCGGCTCGGGCCATACGACCACCTTGGGCAGAATAACATCATTCAGCACCTTGAGAATATCATTCCCCACGAAATGCACCGTGGTCCGGCTGAGATTGAACCTCCGGGAAACCAGATGGAGAGGCTCGGCGGTGGCAAGCCTCCAGATTGCCGCTCCGATCCTGATGTCCAAGAGATTCGGGTTTTTTCTCGGCTTTTTCCCAAGAAGCGGCCCCAGCATCCCACAGAGCTCCATGAAGGTCTCCCGGCTCATCCTAAACTTTTTCCGGAACAATTCCGGAGGGTTATTCGGGTCAATACACTCCTCCCACCACGCGCGTGACCGCGGCCGCGTGATCAGCGTTCGATAAAACACCTGATGCTGCGAAAGCGTGGCGCCAGCAGACATGCCGGCCATGCAGACGCGTCTCAGCCGTTGGATCTCGCGCTGATGGACGGCGTCGTTGTGAGCGATGTCTCGGAGGAGGTTGAGCTCGATGGAGCGAACGAGGGAGTGGTGGCGGAGCAGGTACTCCGAGCGAACCACTCTTAGGCGCTGCAGGAAGCAGGAGGTTTCGTTGGCAGTGCGCTGCTCTTCCAGTAGGAGCAGGAGCACGAGGGAAATGGCATCCTCGTTAGGAGCGTTCTTGATGCAGGTTAAGAGATGTTGGAATTCGGATTCCGAGCAGAGGAGAGGCGAGGGAGTCGTGGGGATGGATGGGCGAAGCAGGGCGGCATTGTTTCTCCCATTCACTGCATCGCCTTCTATTCCCCCCTCTCCTTCACCTTCTCGCTCCTTAGTTTTCCCTCCCTTTTTCCTCTTTTCCAACCCTCCCTCCCTCCCTTCCTCCTCCTCACCCTCCTCGTCCTCCTCCTCCCTTTCATCGACCTCAACTCCCTCCTCTCCTTCCGTCAAGTGTAAGTCCACCAGCCGTCTCTTTCTGCTCTCTCTTCCACCAAACACCCCACCAGCCTCCCCATCTACTTCCAGCCCATCCCCTCTCTCCTTTCTCTGCCTCTCCCCATTCTCCTCCTCCGTTCCCTCCACCCCCACCCGAGCCACTTCAACAACGTCCAGATCAAAAGCGTCTGCTCCGTCCGCTGCCAAGCCTGCGACTGCCGAACCTACAAGCTCCAAGCCTGTTACTGCCGAGCTAAGACATCCCTCGCTGGCAAACCCTTGCAGCTCGTGCTGCTGCTCCTCTTCCTCATACTCTTCCTCCTCCTCTTCCTCCTCTTCCAACTCCACCACTTCCTCTTCGTGCTGCTGCTGCTGCTGCTGCTGCTCTTGCCGCTGGTTGTAGAGTGAACATTGCTGCACCTCCTGCTGCTGATGCTGTTCCTGTTCTCCCGGCTGTCGCTGCTGCTCCTGCACCTGCTGCTGGTTGTAGTATGAACGTTGCTGTGCCTCCTGTGGCTGCTCCTGTGGATGCTGCTGTGGCTGCTGCTCCTGTGGCTGCTGCTGCTGCTGCTGCTGCTGCTGCTGCTGCTGCTGCTGCTGCTGCTGCTGCTGCTGCAGGAACTCGAGGAAAGACGGCTGATCAAGCTGCTCTTGTTGCTGCTGCTGTTCTTGCTGCTGTTCCATTTGCAACTGCTCTCGTGTCTGTTGCTGCTGCGGCTGCTGCTGTTCCAAGAAGTCAAGGAAATACGGCTGATCTAGTTGTTGCTGCTGCTGCTGCTGCTGCTGCTGCTGCTGCTGCTGCTGCTGCTGCACCTCCTGCTGTTCCATCTGCAACTGCCCTTGAGCCTGTTGCTGCCGGTAGACCTGCTGCTGCTGGTACGGTTCTGGCCGCTCATACTGATCGTACCTTTGCTGTTGCTGCTGCTGCTGCTGCTGCTGCTGTTGTTGTTGCTGCCGCTGCTGCTCCTGCTGCTGCCACTTTGATTGAATAATTTGCCGTTGTTGCACCATGTACTGAAGAAATTGCTCTGGACCCGACGCTACTGGCGCCTGCTGCTGCTGCGGCTGCTGCTGCTGCTGTTGTTGTTGTTGCTGCTGCTGCTGCTCCTGCTGCTGCCACTTTGATTGAATATTTTGCTGTTGTTGCACCATGTACTGAAGCAATTGCTCTGGATGCGCTACTGGCGCCTGCTGCTGCTGCTGCTGCTGCTGCTGCGGCTGTTGACGCTGTTGCTGCTGATGATGCTGCGAGTGTTGTTGCGGATGCTGCTGCTGAAATATGTGTTGCTGGAGCAACTGTTGCTGCTTCTGCTGCTGCTGCTGCTGCTGCTGCTGTTCTTGCTGCCGCTGTTGCTGCTGCTGCTGATGCTGCTGGAATTGCTGCGGCTGAAGGCGAGACCGCTGCAAGGGTGCCTGGCGATCGAACTGCTCATACACGTCCTGCGACATTTGCTGCGACGCTTGCTGCCCCACTGCGGACAACAGCTGCGATTCAAGCAGCGCGAACTCAAGCGCAGCTGCCGGCGACGGCGCGGAAGGCGCGGAAGGCGCAGGAGGCGCGGAACGCGCGGAAGGCGCAGAATGCGCGTAAGGCGCGGAAGGCACCGGAACCTGCGCGTCATTGCTCATAAAGGGCTGCGCGGCAGTAGCAGAACGGTTCGCGGGGGGACCAGCGACTGCGCCGAAAGCGGAAGCATTTGGCGGGTTGAAGTGAGTGGGGAGGAAGTGGGAGATGGAAACAGCGGCGGAGGCGGAAGCGGGGGAAACGCCGGCAATGCCGCTGGCGGGAGCGGGCCAGGGAGCGGAGAAATCGTCGCTTGCTTCGAGAGGTTGTGGGTCGAATGGAAATGCACCTCCACGGTTGTTGCGATGATGACGACCAAAGGAGTTACCGTCCATCGTTAATGACTAACGAATATCCCTTTACAAAGAGCACTGACTGAAAAATTCCTTACAATGACAACCGACTAAGGTACCCTTACAGTGATCACTGACTAATTTCCCTTACAATGATCACTAGCTACGCTGGCGCGTCGCGTAGAAGTAGAAGCACTTGCAGCTCCTAGCAATGCCTAGAGAGTAGCGTCAGAAAAGCGTGCCTTATAAACGCGAAAGTTGGACAGTAGTTGTTTCAGACGCGACACGGCTGGGGAATAGGCTGCATCATCCAACCACGAAGCGTCAGACTGATGCTACGCTTCAGAAATCAGGGCCTGACTCGTCACAACAGTCGTGCGTTGGTTCGCATTTGAAAGTAAGTTCAAGTTTGAACTTTCAAAGCAAACACTGAATGGGAACGCATTAGGAACCGATACCGCCATGGCCTGAACGATGGCGAAAGCAAATGGAAACCCTAGGGGCGTGGTACATCTTGGCCTTTTTGTGGCCTAGGGACTGACGTCCTGAAGCTGGCCCTTGCCTCAAATCTGGTTCGGACCAGCTGGTGTTCAAGCTCCACCTAACCTCCACACCCTACTGTTTGAGCCTAGGTTTGGGAAAGCCCGACAGGTTACGCTTTGGCGTTTCGGTATAGTGAATTCTCTACTAGACTGAATGGTGAGAATTGAGTGTGCCTGACATAAACCTGAAGGCGTGATCTGTTGGGGTTCCCAGTTTTCTCGGGATCCACAGACCGTGTTTGGTTGGATGCGAGAAGTGCCAGTTCGGCACAATCTAGGCTGACATTTCCAACCACTCGCAGAGCCAGTGAAGCTTAAAACGAGGGTCTAGATTTGACAAGCGGGGGTTCAGAAGTTTTTGTTTTGATCCAGGCTTGCCAGCGCGAAAGTGTTGGCCAACGAAAACCTGGATTTCGTGCGGACACTTTTCCTCCGCAGTAACAGTTCGCCAGGGTTTTGGGTTTCGGGTGGCAAATGTGCACCGTCGCTTTAACCACTGAACGCACTCCTAGGCTTTTCATTTCCCAGCTCCTGCGTGAAGGCTATGGCGGTTTCATTACTTCTTGGGTTCACGGTTTGATTCGAGAGTTCAAACTTGAACTTTGCTCAAGTGCAAACGCCTGATTTGCTTGACGAGACACTCTTCGAAGCTTAGCATCAGCGTGACGCTTTTCCAGCCGATAAACTCTTCCCAGTCCTACAGTGTCCGAAACTTTATTCGAGCATTGCAAAAAGCGAGAACAGCTGCTACTCCTTGTAAACGGCAATTGTAAGGAGGAGAGTTGGTCATTGCAGGGTCAACATCATAGTCAGGGTAAAAAATGGACGGCAACCCTTTCCGCCGTCATCATGGCCACAGCCGGCGGGGTGCATTTCCCTTCGATCCACAACCTTTGGAAGTAAACGACGATTTCTCCGCTCCCTGGCCCCCCGCTCCCGTCAGCGCCATCGCCAACGTTTCCCCGGCTGCCGCCTCCGCGGCTGTTTCCATCTCCCACTTCCTCCCCACTCACTTCAACCCCCCGGATGCTTCCGCCTTCGGCGCAACCGGTGGCTCCCCCGCGGACCGTTCCGCGGCAGCCGCGCAGCCCTTTCTGCGCAATGAGGCGCAGCTTTCCGCGCCTTCCGCGCCTCCTGCGCCTTCCGCGCCATCTCCCGCAGCTGCGCTTGAGTTCGCGTTGCTAGAATCGCAGCTGCTGTCCGCAGTGGCGCAGCAAGCGTCGCATCAGCCGTCGCAGGGCGTGTATGACGAAGAGCAGTTCAGTCGCCAGGCGCCCTTGCAACGGGCTAACCTTCAGCCGCAGCAATTCCAACAGCATCAGCCGTATTCTTATCAGCAGCAGGAACAGCAGCAGCAGACGCAGCCGCAGCCGCATCAGCGGGAGCAGCAGTTGCTGCAAAGCCAGTTTCGGCTGCACGAGCAGCAGCAGCGGCAGCAAATGCAGCCGCAGCAGCTGCAGCCGCAACAAATGTTTCAGCAACAGATTTTCCGGCAGCAGCAGCATCAGCCGCAACACTCGCAACAGCATCATCAGCAGCAGCAGCAGCAACAACCGCAGCAGCAACATCAGCGACAGCCGCAGCAGCAGCAGCAGCAGGCACCAGTAGCGGATCCACAACAAATGCTTCAATATCTGATGCAACAGCAGCGAAACCTTCAGACAAACTGGCAGCAGCAGCAGCAGCAGCAGCAGCAAGGGTACAATCAGCAGGAGCGATCAGAACCATACCAGCAGCAACAGGAGGTTTACCGGCAGCAACAGGCACAGGAGCAGTTGCAGATGGAGCAGGAGCAGGTGCAGCAGCAGCAGCAGCAGCAGCAGCAGCAGCAGCAGCAGCAGCAGCAGTACCAGCAGCAGCAGGTGGTGGAGCAACAGCAGCAGCAACAGCAACAACAGCAGCAGCTTGATCAGCCGTATTTCCTCGAGTTCATGCAGCAGCAGGAGCCGCAGGATCAGCAGCAACAGCAGGGAGCGCAGGAACAGCATGAGCAGCAGGAGTTGCAGCAAAGTTCATACTACAACCAGCAGCAGGAGAATCAGTTGCAGCCGCAGCAGCAACAGCAGCAGCAGCGGCGGCGGCACGACGAGGAGGCGGAGGAGGAGGAAGAGGAGGAGGAAGAAGACGAGGAGGTGGAGGAGGAGGACGAGGCTGAAGAAGAGTATGAGGAAGAGGAGCAGCAGCACGAGCTGCAGGGGTTTTCCAGTGAGGGTGGTCTTCCCGCCGAGCCTCCTGCAGCTTCGGCAGAAGCAGGTTTGGGACTTGTAGGTTCGGAGGCAGCGGACCTGTCACTTGTGGGCTCGGCAGTAGCAGGTTTGGAACTTGTAGGTTCGGCAGTGGCAGGCTTGGCATCGGACGGAGCAGACGCATTCGATTTGGATGCGGTTGAGGTGGCTCGGTTGGGGGGAGATGAAGCCGAGGAGGAGGGTGGAGAGGGAGAAAGGGAAGGAGATGGGGAAACTGGAGGGGTGGTGGGTGGGAGAGAGAGCAGGAAGAGGCGGCTGGAGGACTTAGGCCAGACGGAAGGAGAGGAGGAAGGGGGAGTTGAAGGTGATGTAGAGGAGGGGGAGGAGGAAGAAGGGAGAGAGGGGAGATCGGGAAAGTTGAAGAAAGGAGGGGAACACAAGGAGGGAGAAGGGGATGGAGAGGAAGGAAAGGAAGGCGATGGAGTGAACAAGGGCATCGCCCTGCTTTACCCATCCATCCCCACGACTCCCTCACCTCTCCTCTGCTCCGAAGCTGAATTCCAAGAGCTCTTAACCTGCATCCAGAGCTCCTCTAACGAGGATGCCATTGCCATGGTGCTCCTGCTGCTGCTGGAAGAGCAACGCGCCACCAAAGAAACCTCTTTCTTCCTGAAGCGCCTGCGAGTGATTCGCTCGGAGTACCTGCTACGCCACCACTCCCTCGTGAGATCTATTGAGCTAAACCTCCATCGGGACATCGCAGACAACAACGCGATCCGCCAGCAGGAGATCCAACGGCTGAGACGCGTCTGCATGGCCGGCATGACAGCTGGCGCCACGCTCTCGCAGGACCAGATCGTTTACCGGCGGCTGTGGACGCGGCCGCGCTCCCGCGCGTGGTGGGAGGAGTGTATTGACCCGAATTACCCTCCGGAAACGTTCCGAAAGACGTTTAGGATGAGCCGGGAGACGTTCATGGAGCTCTGTGACATTCTGGGGCCGCTGATTGTGAAACGATCAACCAGAATCAGGGAGGCGATACCTGTAGACATCAGGATTGGAGCGTCGCTCTGGCGCCTGGCCACAGCCGAGCCTCTCCATTTGATCTCCAGGAGGTTCGGGCTCGGCCAGACCACCGTGCATTTCGTCTCGAATGACGTTCTTAAGGCGCTGAACGAAGTTGTTCTGCCCAAGGTGGTTGTCTGGCCTGAGCCGGGCAGCACCCGGGCAGCTGAAATTTCTTCCCAGTTTCTGGACCTGTGCGGGCTGGATCACGCTTCGTCTGTGGCGCAGCAGCTGGGAAACGGGAAGCTGATTGCAACTCTCTACACAACGCACCTGCCCATCAACACGCCACGGTCCAACCTTGCAAAATACCACAACAAGCAGCACACCGAGCGTTTCGCCCGCCCTTCTTACTCTATAGCCATGCAGACGGCCATCGATGCCAACGGGCAGTTTTTAGACCTTTGCATCGGGCTGCCTGGCGCGCTTTCTGACGAGGAGGTTTTGCAGCAGTCGACCCTCCACCAGAAAGGACAAGCCGGAGAGCTCCAGGGAGTTAAGGTCATTGGGTTACGGTCGTACCCGCTTCTGGATTGGCTGCTGGTTCCGTACGCCCAATCAGACAGCGCCACGTGGTACCAGACGACCTTCAATGAGTGCATAGAGAAGGGGACTGCGGTGGGGAAGGACGCTATTGGCCGGCTGAAGGGACGGTGGCGGATTCTGCTGAGGCGGGCTGAGGGGAAGCTGCATGAGCTGCCGCGGTTGGTGGGGGCGTGCTGTGCGCTGCACAACTTTTTGGAGCAGAAGGGAGAGGCGTTTGACCCTGACTGGGCGTATGAAGCATTTGATGACTTTGTGCCCGCCAAGAGAGCCGATGAGGAGTCCCCTGCTGCCGTGGCGGAGAGGGATGCGCTGGCCCAGGGGATGTTCCAGGCCGTGCATGGGTGGGAGGGGGACGCTGCCAATGCGCTGTGAGGTTGAGCTCGGAAAAATGGAGGCTCATATGGAGCGAGGATAGTTTGGTGGGGTGGGGAGAGAAGTGGGGAAGAGATGGGGCTGGGCTGGGGGGAGGGGGAGGTGGGGGAGAAATGTTTTGATGGGTTGGATGGGGAGGATCATGTGCCGCAGCAAGTCAACGTTTCACAGTAGCTGATAAGTAGGAGATCTGAGCTGTCAAATGTTGTAGTCTTAGTGATGTGTGTTATAGGGGGTACAACTGTTAGGGTTACGTTTATGTACCCCAACCAACCTTAGTGAAACCAACACTTTCATTCTTGACATGGTATCACCTAGGTTAGGATCCTGTAGGATCCCGTTCCTCTCGTTCATGTCCGTAGCGCCCGAGCCTGTCCCGTACCCTAGTGCCTGTTACGCCCGTACTGTCCCCTAGCGACTCTCGCGCTCGTCTCTCTCGTGCCCTAGCGCCCGCTGCGCCTGCATCGCGTCGCCCCTGCTGTCCCGTCCCGTCCCGTCGCCCCTGCTGTCCCGTCCCGTCGCCCCTACCGTCGCGTCGCCCCTGCTGTCCCGTCCCATCCCGTCGCCCCTGCTGTCCCGTCGCGTCGCCCCCTGCTGTCCTGTCCCGTCCCGTTGTCCCTGCTGTCCCGTCCCGTCCCGTCGTCCCTGCTGTCCCATCGTGTCGCCCCCCTTCTGTCCCGCCGCGTCGCGCCGTCCGTCCCGTCCCGTCCCGTCCGTATCGCGCTTCCCGTCCCGTCCCGTCGCACGCGCCCCGTGCGCCCTGCCCGTCCGTCGCGCCCCGTGCGCCCTGCCCGTCCGTCGCGCCCCGTGTGCCCTGCCCGTCCGTCACGCCCCCGTTGCGCCCTGCCCGTCCGTCGCGCCCCGTGCGCCCTGCCCCGCCCCGCCCGTCCCTGCCAGTCGCGTCCGTCCCGTCGTGTCGCACTGTCTGTCACGCCCTACGCAGACCCTTTAGGCGTTTAGGGTTTCGGCAGCAGCAATATCCACCTCTACGCTTCCGCTATGGCGACCCCTAGGGTCCTGCGCTTTGACGCTGAGGGTAGGCCGCTCGAGTTCTCGGCCTGGCTCATGCGTGCGCGCCGCCTCCTAGAGAGCCAGGTTCAGGCACACGAGACTCTGTGGGCGCACGCTTCCGGTGACCTACCTGAGCTAGCTGACCCTGCACCCTTAGCAGCTGACCCCACACCTGCAGACAGTGACCGTTATGCACGCGAGCGTGCTGACGTGACAGCGTGGAAGTCGCGTGACGCTGCGGCCTGCATCGCCCTCAGCAGCCTCCTCCCTGAGTCTGAGGAGACCCACTTCACTCAAGTTCGCACGGCTAGTGAGTTCCTGACTGCGATCAAGGCCCGCTACGCTACTCCCACCACTGTCTCTCTTGGTCGCCTGTTCCTTCCGTTCCTGTTTCCTAACCTCGCCTCGTTTGAGCGCACTGCTGACTTGATCACTCATCTGCGCTCGCTCGATTCTAGCTACCGCGCCGCTTGTCAAACTTATATGCTATAGTTTGTTTAGGCTGTAGTGGGGTAGTTCATATAGGGTACAACACTTTTAGGTTTCCCACTTGTACCCAACTGCTTCCTAGTTCAGTCATTCATTCCTTCTCATTCTAACATGGTATTCTGAGCAGGTTCCCTAGTGGGAACGTTTTTTTTTAGGGCCCACCACGATTTTTCTTCCTACCCGAAGCGCGCCTCGCGCCTGTTTCACCTGCGCCGTCGCGCGCCCTGCTCTCGTGCCGCCCGTCGTGGCCTTGCCTTGCTGGCCCGTCGTGGCCCTTTCCTTAGAGGCCCCTCGTGGCCCTACCCTACTGCCGCCCGTCGCTGGCCCGTAGCTGGCCCGTTGCCACCCGTCGTCGGCCCGTCGCCCGTCGCCGGCCACCCGTCGCCCGTCGACGGCCCGTTGCCGCCCGTGGCTGGCCCGTCGCTGGCCCATTGCCGCCCGTCGCCGGCCCGTTGCCGCCCTTTGCTGGCCCGTCGCTGGCCCATCGCCGCCCGTCGCCGGCCCGTTGCCGCCCGTTGCCGGCCCGTCGCTGGCCCGTTGCCGCCCATTGCCGCCCGTTGTCGCCCGTCGCCGGCCCGTCACCGGCCCGTTGCCGCCCGTAGCTGGCCCGTTGCCGCCCGTCGCCGGCCTGACACCCTTCGCCGGCCAGCCGTCGCCCGTCGCTGGCCCGCCGCCCGTCGCCGACCCGCCGCCCGTCGCCGACCTGCCGCCCGTCGCTGACCCGTCGCCAGTCGGCCCGGCCCTGCAGACGTCCAGTAGCGGCCCTGCCTGCGCCGCCCGTAGCGGCCCTGCCCTGCTGCCGCCCCAGTAGCGGCCCTGCCTGCAACCGCCCCTGGTAAGCACCCGCGCCCCCCCCCTGCTGCGCCGCGCAGCCAGGAGCCGAGCCGCGCTGCTTGGCCGAGCCGCGCCGCCCAGCCGAGCCGCGCCGCCCAGCCGAGCCGCGCCGCCCAGCCGAGCCGCGCCGCCTAACTGAACCGCACCGCCCAGCCGAGCCGAGCTGCCCTACTGAGCTGCACTGCCCTACCTGCACTGCTCCTGTTACTACTGCTGCCACTATGGCTAGCCCCACGGTTCTCACCTTTGAAGCTGAGGGACGTGCAGTTGACTTTGACGTGTGGGTTGACGACCTGCAGCTTTTTCTTCAGTGTGACTCTAGGGATGGAGTATCCCTCTTCGATCACACGTCCGGTGCCTCTACTGCTCCTACTGCCACTACTGACAGTACTGTTCGCTCGCAGTGGACCACTCGTGACGCTGTTGCTCGTCTTGCTGTTCGTAGTCACCTGCCGCCAGCTGAGCGTGCACATTTTGGCCAGTACAAGACTGCTCAGTCTTTGTACGCCGCTGTAGTTGCGCGCTACTCCTCCCCTGCCACTGCTGCCCTCAGCCGCCTCATGCTGCCGTACCTTTTCCTTGACCTTGCTGCCTTTGCCACAGTCGCTGACCTAGTTGCTCACCTTCGCACTAGTGACGCCCGCTACCGCGCTGCCCTTCCCACTGAGTTCTGTGCAAAGAACCCCCCCCCCATGTACATCACCCTTTACTACCTAGTCACCCGCCTCCCTGACTCCCTCTCTTCAGTCAGGGACCACTTTCTCTCCCTTTGCCCCACCGAGCTGACTGTCGACCTGCTAGAGGAGCGCCTTACTGCAGCTGAGAAGAGTATCTTAGCTGTAGGTGCTTCTCGCGGCGACCGTCGCACCCCTTTCTTTGAGGGGTGTTCCCCTGTGCCCCTTCTCCCCTCTGTTGCTTCTGCTGCTGCTGTCGACCTCGTTGGCACTGCGGAGGTCGGAGCTGCGTCTGCCCCTACTGAGAGACGCCGCACCAGCAGAGGCAAGGGGAGCAAGGGTGGTGGCGGGGGCGGCGGTGGAAGCAGTGGAGGAGGTGGAGGAGGCGGAGGTAGTGGAGGCGGTGGAGGTGGTGGCGGCAGTAGCGGAGGTGGTGGAGGCAGCGGCGGCGGTGGTGGAGGCAGCGGCGGCGGCGGTGGAGGTGGAGGTGGCGGTGGTGCTGGTCGAGGTTCAGCCGCGCAGCGTGGAGGCTTTGGTGGCAGCCAGCGCCAGCAGCAGCTGCGCTCCCGTGAGACCCCGTCGGTCCAGCAGCTTCGTGAGTGGTACGCTGGGCGTGGGAGGTCTGGGGCTGCAGGTCCCTGCACTTACGTTCTTCGCTCCGGCACTCGTAGTGGGGAGGTGTGTGGGCTCCCACACACTACGCAGCGCTGCTTCGGTCGCTTGGCGTGCCCAGTTTCCTGACGCCGTTGAGCTCCCTCGCTGGCATGATCTGCTTCTGCAGAATGTGCCTATCTTTGATCTAGATTTTGATGCTATCCTTGCTGCCATGTATGCTCTTGCTGATAGTGCTGAGGGTGACTGTTACCTGAGTGTCCCGCCCGACCCGAGCATTGCGGCTGCTGCTCTAGGTGCTAGTGCGTCTGCTACTCCAGGTGCTGGTGCGTCTGCTGCTCCAGGTGCGGGTGCGTTTGCTCTCTCTGGTACTGCACCTACTGAGTCCTTGCACACTTTTACACTTGACTCTGGTGCTTCGCGCTCTTTCTTTAGAGACAGCACTATGCTCACGCCGCTCAGTCGGCATGTTGCGGTCTCCCTTGCTGACCCCTCCGGGGGCCCAGTCCTTGCACACTCCTCCACGATTCTACCGTGTCCTGCGGCCCCGTCGGGCTTGCTGTCGGGACTCCACCTCCCCTCGTTCTCTACGAACTTGGTGAGTGGAGCTGACCTCCAGGACGCGTGGGTTGACCAGTTCACTCCTGGAGGTCAGCGTGTGACCCACTGCACTTGCTCTCGGACGGGCCGCCACCTGGCCACGTTCAACCGTCGGCCAGGGTCAAGTCTGTACACACTGACTACTGCGCCTCCTCCGGTCTCTGCGTCTGGTCAGGTAGCTGCGTCTAGTCAGGTGTTTGCTGCCGCGTCCAGGTCTAGTACTGCGTCTGCCCCCTGCTCGTGTCGTCCTCTGTCGCACGAGACTCTCCTTTGGCACCACCGCCTTGGTCACCCCTCCCTGCCTCGTCTTCGAGGTATGGCCTCCCGTGCCCTTGTCTCGGGTCTACCCAGGTCCCTCCCTCCCCTTCCTCCGGGGCCTGCCCCCACCTGTGTTCCTTGTGTCGAGGGCAGGCAGCGCGCCGCCCCTCACTCCTCCTCGTTCCCTCCGATTGAGGGTCCTCTGCAGACTCTTCACATGGACGTGTGGGGCCCAGCCCGCGTCCGTGGACAGGGTCACGAGCGTTACTTCCTGCTGGTCGTTGACGACTACTCGCGTTACACCATAGTCTTCCCCTTGCGCAGCAAGGGTGAGGTCCCTGAGGTGTTGATCGACTGGATCCGCGGTGCTCGTCGCCAGCTCAGTGAGAGTTTCGGTTCAGACCTTCCTGTTCTGCGTCTGGACTCGGACAGAGGTGGGGAGTTTTCCTCCGACCTCCTGAGGGCCTTCTGTCGTTCGGAGGGCATCCGCCAGACGTTCACGCTTCCGGCCTCCCCGCAGCA